TTTAAATTTCGGGCCTCTTAAATTATAATCTTGTGGGGCTGGGGATTTAGCTCAGTGGCATAAGTGCCTGCCTTGCAAGCAGGCAGTCGTGAGTTCGATCCCTGGTACCGATAAAAAGGAAAAAGACAAAAAAAAATTATAATCTTGTTCTTTTATGCTGTTTTTATGTTTTGCTTAAAAAATACAATGCAAAAAGACTAAAACTGGCATAAAATTTTGGTAGACCTATAAAATATCCTAAAAGAACTATTTCATTAAATATTTTTTAGATTAATAGACTATGCTATAAGGCAGTTTTAGGAGAGAAGGTGTTATGGATTAAAAACTGGTGGTCAAATTAACACCAGCTGAATTAAATCAGCATGGTGCTGAGTGTAGATGGCCCACCTGAGGAAAGTTGTCAGCATAAATAGAGACGTGGAAAAGGAGAGTGAGGCATTGTGGGTTTTTCTAAGTGTTGCTGTTTGAGCCATTGATTCTCTTGGAGGAGCTTGTCATGCTGGCTTCCCTAGTGTGAGTTTGACATTGTCATTGGAAGGAGCTCAGGACCTTGTTGGTGAGAGTGGTTGTGGTTCACTTTGGGGGAGCTCTGGTCTTTACATCGAGCATGACTTCCTGGCTCCGGATGGGAAGATGTGTGTTGTTTAATCTCCAGGAGAAACTCGACATGCTGGTTTTCTGGCTTGCACTTGACTGTTCGTATCGTCCGAAGAGCTTGGGAGGGCTTTGGAACTTTTCAGGGAAGCCCTGTTTCTTATTTTGAGCATGACTTCTCAGCTCCAGTGTAGAACCCTCAACCCACCAGCACAGCTCTTTCACCCGGCTGGCATAGACTTTGTAGCTTCCACTGGTGACCTTTGGGCCTTCCCAGAGAAGATCCGTAAAACAGAGTGGAGTGAGTCCTTCTTGTGGGCTCTAAACCTCCATCCAGTTGAACTCATGAGAGGCACTGGCATGGGCTCTGGGTCTTCATATGGACTCATATAGGACATTGCTGTGGGATTCAGGTCCTTGGCTAAATATTCTGTCTTTAGTGTTGACAGATTTCCTGCACTTTGTGTTAACTCTGGGTGGCCATCATAAAATAATATTATAAATTCTGTGTCCTGATTCTAATTGTTCTCTTCACAACCCTTGACTACAACAGAAGGGACTCTTCTGCTGCTGGGGTTTGCCCTGGTCCTCTGAAGTAGGATGGTGGCCCCTCCCACCCACTTCTGTTCCATGCCTCTGTGTCCCAAAGCACAGCACCCACCCCCTGCTCAGACATCCATTTCTGGCTTTGTCCAGCCCCTCAGGAAACAGTGTCCCCCTCTCTGGGCAGCAGTGTATTTGAAGAAACCAATTTAATTTCCAGAAAAAAATTTGGAGCAAAAAGTACACTTGCTAATACATATTATTTTATTGCTTTAGAGACATTATGTTTTGAAATACAGATACTGGTCCAAGTCTTTAATAGAATAAATTTTGAATTGTTCAGCTATAAGTCTTGCAGAGTTGGATCAAGAAAATGCGATTGGCCTCATTCCTACAATACCCATTCCGAAGCCTGGAGCAAGCGCACGACTTCCCCAGGGGCACCGAGAAGTGAAGGTGTAGATTATCCCTGCCTGCATGCTACGGTCCTGATGCAGAACTCAGGGCTCAGAGCAGGTATGGTTCCAGGAGTCTGACTCGAAGGCAGAGCAAGAAAAGGAGAGAAAAAGGAGTTCCTGGGCCAGGAAAGCAAATGGCTTGATGACAGGGCACACACCCTAACATGGACTGCGGAGCCGGGACTGGGCAAGGGGAAGCGCGCAGCTTTGTGTGGGAATCGAGCTTCTTCCATTTCTGTACAGAGAGGCAGCTTGGCTGGCTCCGGCCCCAAACCTGTGACTTGCAGCAAAGCATTACACAGCCATCAGAAAAAGTCAGCACACTGAAGCCTCTCCCACAAAGATAAAAATATGATGTTCTTTAAGGAACACATTACATAGACGGGAAGCCAGCCAGACAGCACCAAGTCCTGAATGCATGCAAAATCCCAGAAGCCGGGGAGTATATAGTAATAAAAATACCTGCAGGAAAGATGAGCATAAGTGGCCTTAATTAGCTCTAAAGAGGGAACTTTAGGAGGAATAATATTTAAAGCTTATTTCAAGCACTGAATAAGACTACACACAAAAATCTGTCTTAAGGTTTTTACTTAGGTGGCTGTGGCAGAGCGCTTGCTAAGTAAATGTGTGAGGCCTGGGTTCCATTTCATTCCCTGTACTCCAAACCAAACCGAACCAATACATGACGTATTTCCTTAGGGCCACATCTTACACAGAAAGCTGCAAGGAAGTTAGAATTGTGGTTTTAAGTGTTAATGCCTGGTTTTGGAGAAAATTAACTGAAAATAGGTTAATGATCCAAATGTAAGACTGCAATCTATGAAACCCTTAGAAGAGATGTAAGGAGTGTGTTAGCTTTCATGCTGCTGAGACGCAAAACCAGACACCCACAGGTCGGAGGAAGAGAGGTTTACACATCTGTGAAAATCTGCAACCATAGCCAGTACTGACCACTCTGAGTCCTGGTGGCTTTAGTACTTTTTCTGTTTATTACCCGAGGGTCAAATTCAAATAAAAATCAAGCACTTTTGGAAGTTTTACATATCATCCATATACCAATACCCTCTTGCACAAAGTAATAGCAATTTTAAGATTAAAGTAAATCTCACTAGGCATCCAAAATTCCTTGTCAGATTTCCCCATTAAATCTTCATAGTGATGAATGTGAGTTAACTGACTTTCAGAGTACTTGGAGCTCTACATTTCCCCCCATCAAACCTTAGCAGTTCCACTGATTAAAATCAACAAAACAGCGCTGGGAATTTAGCTCAGTGGCATAAGCGCCTGCCTGCCAAGCACGAGGTCGTGAGTTTGATCTCCAGCACCAAAAAAAAAAAAAAAAAAAAAAAAAAGTCAACAAAACAGTTCTTGATGTAGCATAGTAAGAACGAGCACTTCATGAGTGTTTTCTGAAGTCCCTTCAAACTGTGATCTTCACATTATTTCTTGCTTACCTGGAGTTGCTCCAGAAAGAGATAGTACTGGGGTTGACCACCCAAGGAATTGATTGTTGCAGTTTTTGAGCTTCCTGAGCCTTTTGGACTTCCCAGTGGGGAATTATGAAGCACTTAACACTGAACGAAATAAAGATGGCAAAGTGAAAGGAGCCCACATGGTAGGAAGGTGCTGTGGTCCTGATTCCTTTGGGCCCAACTTTTTCCTTTGCAAGGTGGAGGCATAATGGTCCTTGGGACCAAGGGCCAATGGCTACAAGAATCCCTGGCATTCTTGACTAAGGTCACTCTGCTCTCTGGGAAACAGAAAGAGGCTGAATGGGACAATTAGAAACTGATCAGAAGCAAGCAGGGCCCCAAGGGAAAGGAGGAAGGACGGGTAATCCAAGCTCTCGATTTTCAGAAGTTGGGGTCGCTGATGTATTGCAAGGAATAATCATCACATGGAGGTCTCGGGTCAAACCAAAATGGAGGACTGGACTTTCCATCAGCCCTCACTGCCCAAGTGCCCTCTACAAACCTGGTCCACGGTGAAAATCACCTCACAGATTCATCACTGTGAGAAAAGGCCTCAGGCAGACTCCTTTCTGGTATGCCACCTTGGGATTGTGTTTTTCTCTTCCAACAATCACACTCTCCTGAAGGAATCACCAACCACTGGGTCATACTCAACTCAGCCTTTCTCCCAGGGAAGTACACATTGTCTTGGTCCGTCCCAGTGTGCTATGAAGCTGCAATTTATGAGGAAGTAGGCGCTGACAGGTGTATGCTAGTTCCAAGGCTGTACAGAAAATTTGCCTCTCCTTTCAGAAGTGCGGCTGGCAGGCTAAGGGCGTGGGAGTAGGGATATGGCATTTTCCACATGATTTTAGGTAAGTTTAATTTTTGTCAACAGGTCTCTGTATTAGTCACTTTCCCATCCCTGGGACAAAATACCTGACACTGCCTCTTAAAAGAGGAGAGGATTTTAGTTGGCTCATAGTTTCAGGGGCTTCAGTTCACGGCGAGTTGGCTCCAAGTAAGAAGTGGCATGGTTGGAGGTTCAGTGGGGGGATTCGACCTGGGGCACCCAGGAGCAGAGGAGGAGGGAGGAGCCAGAGACGAGAACACTGCTTTCCAGGTCACCCCGGGGACCCCTTGCTTTCCACTGCACTTTCAGCTATGAATTCGTTACTGAAGGAACACACAGATGAGTTCAGCAGGCCCATGAGCCACTCATCTTCCAAAGCCCCATCTCTGAACACAATGAGGCTTTGGGGGACATTTTAATCCAAGCCATAGCATTTCTATCCTGCCCATCTGCCTGGTTTTGGCATGAGGAAGCAGGTTGTGTTGAGGCATTTGTCTATGTTCACTGGCATTTCTGAGGTCCCCCCCCCCATCCACCAGCTCAGAACAGATGAGATGCCCAAAGAAAACCAGGGACCTTGACATCCTGTTGCCCGTGAGCCCTGGGATCTCTGTCCTCTTTACCTGTCTACTTCCAGAATCACTTTGTATTTGCTTTATAAACAATGTTCAGGGTTTTTACCTTTATTAATGGGAAGATTAAGTGGAAATGAATCTGTTCTATTTTTTCTAGAATCAGAAAATCTCACTCCCTTAGTGGAAAATATTGCTTAATTCCTGGGTAACTCTGCTGTCCCCACTTCTCCAGCAAAAACCAAAATCCAAAAACACTTGTATTTGTTGAGGGACCCTTCCCCAAACACTGCAACTTTGCTGCTGCCCACTGTGCTGTGACTCAGCAGTAGAGGGACCAGGCAGAAACACTGGGGAGCCAGCACTAGGAGGAGAAATCTTCCTCCTTCCTTCCCTCCTTCCTCACCAAATCCCACACTTCAGTGTATAAGAAGGCAAAGAAATAAATGTACAAAGCAAACTTTAAAAGATTATAATTAGCTCATCAGGTACTTTACACCCATAACTCCCCTGCACCCAGATAATGAAATAAAGAAATAAACTCTTTTCCTCTCTATTCTTTAATTTGGATCTTAATTGGGCCAGTACCGTCTGTCCTCCATGAACGTGCTACAGGAGCTTTATCCACCACAAACACCAAGTCAGTCTTGAAGGTGTACAGCCATAACCTTAATGCTGACCTCCACTTGTCAAGGGTCAGCCTTACACTGAGGCAGCAGACCACATAAGTGCTAATCTTCTTCCTACATGGCTCTTGTTGGTTCAACCAGAAGACTCATCCTAGGCTTGATGACTGATTCTGCCGAAGCTGTGGGGTGCGATTCATTTTGGAAGGCTCCTTTTTCTGTCTGCTTTCAGGGTTTCCTATCTGAAGCCGCTGGTTGGCCTCTTTCTGCCCGTGACAGCCCTCGCTATGCGGGTGTTGAACCGGTTGTTCTGAGCTTTTCTGTTCAGACAAGGATCCGAGCTCCTGTAGACTGGATCTTTCTTGGGAAAGGTGCCCTTCACATAAGGCAAGTTGCTTTCTACTCTCTCCTTTTCCAGTGGCCTCTGACTGTTTTTGCTGAGTTGATTTCTCTGTGGTGGGTTCTCTGGTGCTGTCCCCTCCCAGGGCTGGTAGGACTCCTCGAGCAGCTGCACCCTGTGCTGCAGGATCTGATACTCATTCTCCAGCAGAGCCGCTGCCAGGTGCAGGGAGTGTGTGTCCTGGTTCAGCCTCCTCACCGCGGCCTGCAGCATCTGCCCGGCGTACACATGGCTGTGCCGTTGGCTGTGCTGTTGGCTGTAGAACCAGGCCCAGTGGCTGTCCATAGCCGCCCTTCTGCCCCTCTGAGACTGCTGGTAGGACCGCAGCAGTTGGCTGAGTTCCGTGTGCTGCTGACTCCAGTGCTCTGCCTCCTGCAGCAGCTGTTCCATGTTGTGCCGGAGCTCAGCGTTTTCTTCCTGAGCCGTAGTGGACCCCACTCCTTCTTCCTTCTGCAGCTGAGCTTTGGAGAGGACACTGTTTTCTTCTGAATGCTTTTCCCAAGGCCTCGCAGAAAGGTGACTGGTGTTGCTAGGCTTCTGGCTTTCCAATGTCATCTCCTGTTCCTTCCCTCCTTGCCTTTCCTCCAGATCAAAACAAAGGAGCAGGGTTTTGGACACCATGCCTTCCGCCTTGCCAGGTTCTCCGGCTGTGTCCTGCGGCTCTGAGCCGTCTTTAGACATCTTGGTTTCCTCAGAAGATTCTTTGGTGTGTGTGATCCCTCCGAGGTCTGCCACACTCTGGAGAACATCTTGAAGGTCCCGCAGGAGATCCTGAAGCTTCTGGGTGGTGAGCGGCCCTGCTGCATAGTGGCTGGTGTTCATCGGGGGAGGGAGGGAGCCCCAGCAGGAGGGGTGCGGGGAGCTAATCTCCAGCAAGGATACGGTGATCCCAGGCTCTGCAGCCTCAAGGGGGATATCAGGAGCAGATCTGGGGGTGTTGGAGAGGGGGGCCTTCTCCACCCAACTGCCTGAGCTGGCCATGGTGCCTTGGGAGCTGGGAAGCACAGGGATGGTCCTCGGGCCTAGGGTTGGAGAAGCTGGAACCAAGATGGCAGGGAGCAGAGCTCAAGCCTGGGGCTGGGGGCAGCATTCAGGAGGAAGGTGACATCTCTGGCGGCCTGGGGGGCTGGGGAGTGGGAAGGGGACCAGGAGCTGGGGCTCCATCTCCCTTTTCTGAGGCTGAAGTACTTATTTCCTGAGCTTAGCAACCAGGGCTTTGTTCTGTCACTGTGCCATTGTGGCTGGTTCCCAGCTCAGGGCTCTGTGTCACAATGGAAGCCTCTTAAACATCTACCTTGAGGCCTCACCCCCATCCTCCCCTGAATCCACTCCCATTGCAGGGAGATGCTGCTGAAAAGGGGAGGCAAGTGACTCACACTGGAAGCCCCAAAGGGCTACATCTTTTTGTGGTTTCAGGAGAATAATGTCACCAGTCCCTCCAAAAGTGTTCTACTGATGCGAGAAGAGACAATCAGAATGGATCTTTAACCCTAATTGGCAAGCTGGGCATGGCGGTAGGTATCTATATTCCTAGCTGGTCAGGAGGCTGAGGCAGGAGCATGCTGAGTTTGAGGTCAGTCTGGGCAACTTAGCAGGATTCTGTCTCGACAAACAAACAAAACCCCAAAGCACAAAAACTCAAAAGGGAAAAAAGAAACTGGCCCACACAATGTACAGATTGGGGATTTTCTCGGTTTTGAATATGGTAACCGTCCAGGCAGGCTTAATGAGCTTATCTATGAATTACTTGCATCTGCTGAGGTAAAACTGTGATCACTACTTCACACTGACTAAAATGGCAATTTAGGTACAGTGCTTGACACAGCTGAGTCCATTTGTGGGTTGCATAAAGTCAGGAAATAATTCCAACCCTAGAGTGTTCCTGTCTCTCATCCTTAGGACTCAGGGCCTCGGGGAAATGAATTTCAAAACGAGTTCGTGCTGCTTGCATGGGACTATTTCATGGCCTTCAAAATCTGGCTACCAATAATCCTACTAGATAGATTTTTGCTCCCAGTCTTAAGGAAAAATTTACACTGGGGTTCTTTTCCTAGCAGAGACACTTGTGTGTTTTTCTTCCACAGCTGCCAACTCCCATGGCCTCCAGGTCTTTCCAAAGGGGCTGAGGCCAGGGTCACTGTGGCCGAGACTGCAATGCTGGTTCCACTTCTCAAGAGGGGGCGCCTCTCCTGACCCACAAGTGGTGCCACCAGCAGCACCCGCCTGTTCTTGTCCTGTACTAGCGGGTCAGTTTGGTGGCCTCCCTGTGACTTGAGTGATTCTGGAGACAGTGTTTCATCTCCAGGATGAGGGAACTGTCCCTGACCTGGTCATTGATTCCTAAATGTATTGTTTTGTGATCAGAAAATGTCTCTGGCCCAACACGCATGAGGTCCTAGGCTCTCTCCCTAGCATTGCAAAAAAGAAAAAGAAAGGGTCCACAGTTGATACTTCCTTTTTGCCTAACAGATCGCAGATGCTAATTAACATGAAGGGAAACATTCTTTGCACTTCGATTTCTTGTGCTTGCAGTTTTTCTGTGCTCTTGGACACACATCTGATTTTACCCTTGTCTTGATTTGTAAGAAAACTGGTTTGAAGGTAGCTTGCTTAGTCAAGATAAAGAATTTTTTCCTTAACTGGTAAGGAATTAAAGTATTTCCTTTCTCCTCCCAACTATAATGAATTCCAACAAACATATCTGTTAATTTTACTGAAAGTTATATAGGTGCTGAAATGCATCTGAACTTGGCAGCTTCCTCCTCCTCCTCCTCCTCCTTCTCCTCCTCCTCTTCCTCCTCTTCCTCCTCCTCCTCCTCTTCCTCCTCTTTCTCCTCCTCCTTTTCCTCCTCCTTTTTGCTTTTTGATCCCTTTTCCTTATTGACCTGTATTCCCAGGGGATAATCATAGTGGTCAGACGCACTGGGATTGTGTTACAGTTTTTCCCTGCTACGCTTCTCATCGCCTACTAACTGAACAAATGAAAGAAGAGCTATTTGTATGAAATTTTTCTTTTTAAAACCAGTTTGGCTTCATGAAAATACAAAATCCTCAGCCAGGTGAGGTGGTATACACCTATCATCATAGCAACCAAGGAGGCTGAGGCAGGAGGACTGCAAATAAATGTAAGGCCACTTTGGACAACTTAGCAGGACTGAAAAAAAAAGGAGGGGTTGAAGATGTAGATCAGTAGTAGAGAGCTCCTGGGTCCAACTGTCAGAACCGTTAAAAAAAACCCCAACCTTATATTCTCCTTTAACGTGCTTAATGGGTGTGCAAACATCGGAAATACAGAACGGGCTCCTCATCCGTCTGCAACAGAAACTGAACTCACAGTGCAGTGAAAGAGGCAGGGTGGGCGGGACGAGGTGCCCTCGCTCAGAGCCTATCTGTGCTGGGCCTGGCTCGACATCGTGGGCCACCTGCGTCCTTCCTAGAGGTCTCTGTCTAGCTGGAGGCCCTGTATAGTTCCGGGTTTCTGTCCTGCCAATTCTGCAACCCAGGTCTGGGGACACTGATCTTGTGTAAGTGCCAAGGAAGGCACTGATTGGCCTGGGGGTCCCATGTGACCAGGGTGGGACGTGGGGCAGCCAAGGGCTGACCAGGGGCAGAAAGGTTGAGGGCAGCTGCTGACAGAAATGAGGACCTGACCTGACCGGCATCTCTGTCAGGCAAAACCCCGGGCCACCCCAGAGCAGTGTGCCTGTCCCCTGCTTCCCGGGCAGGCTGCAGGCCCTGCTGGCCGCTCCTAGGCAGTGGCCACTAGGTGGTGATGCAGGCTTTAAAATTTACAGTGTGTGTGTGTGTGTGTGTGTGTAAGATAAAAAGAGACAGGAGATCTAAACTCTGGAATCCATGGAATCTGAGATGCCAGCACCCACAGGCTCTGTCTCTGTCTCTGAATCGCGCTCTCTCTCTCTCTCTCTCTCTCTCTCTCTCCCCCTCTCTCTGAATTGAACCCAGGAGCACTCTGTCACTGAGCTACCTCCCCAGCCCTATTTTTTATTTCAAGACAGTGTCTCACTAAGTGACCCTTGCTGACCTTGCACTTGGATCCTCCTGCCGCAGCTTCCCCAGGAGCTGGAAGGAGAGTGTGCACTGCCACACCAGGTAGAGTCTCATTTTCCTAGGTCTGGGAGAGCTGCCCAAGGCCAGGCTCAGCCCCACCAGGCTTAAGTTTGCTGGAGAGGCCCGCTCCAGGGCCACCTGCAGGGAGAGGGCTATGCAGGAGAGCGGGTTTCCGGGTTTCCGGCACCAACAGGACAGGGGCACTGTACAGGACGTGGGCAAAGGAGCCTATGCAGTGTTTAAGTTAAATTTACAAAAAGTCTTAAGTAGAAGATACCACGCCAAGAAAGGTGTGATGAACATGTTCAGAGTGAGGGTGTGGAGGGGGATTCATAGCAATGTCTCTTTTATAGTAATATATTTGAAAGTTTAAATACTCACTGTATTCATCAGCCCTCACTGATCAAACCTGTGAAGTAATCTGTCAAACAAAAGCATGACCCAGTGTCCTCATCCACCATATTCACCAGACCTGGCGCTGCTGTTCCCCATAGTCAAAGTGACCAGGAAGGGAAGCGTTTTGAGTTCTGGACACAGAGGCAGCCAGCTCAGCTTGACCAAAAAAACCTCTGGAAAGAGGACTCCAGGGCTGCTGCAGAAGGTGGCCAGGACAGCAGGACTGTGTTCAAAGCCGGGGAGGATCTGGAGGTGAATAAACAGCAGGCAGTCTTTTTCTGTGACGCAGTTTTTAAATGTCCAGGAGCTGGCATAGTGTGTGGTCGCACCATCTGGTCAAGGGTATGAGGGAAAAGTCCACAGGGCGTCTTTCAGCCCACAGTGCTGAGAAACGCATCTGTGTGGGATGATGAACAGTGAGAGCTGCGTGGCCTCCCTCCCTCCCTCGACAAAGGCCAGGAGGGGGAGGAGTCCCTAGCTGCTGCTTACAAGCTCCACCCACACAGGCGGCCACAGAGGTGAGCCCGGTCTGTTTGATGCGTAGGTTGCATCAAGAAGTGGTGGCTGTGTGGCAAAATGATCGGGCTGTGGGTCTGCTCTGGGGGACAGACTGAGGGGGTTGCTCCAGGGCACATTTGGGCAGGTCCTTGGTGGCCTCTTTGTCCCTTCCATCTCCCTTGCACATGAAGGGACATCAGTTGGCTGACTTGACTCAGAAAGGTAGGGACACTTAGAAGATGCCTGGACTCCACGGATGATGGCAGAGGATTTGGGTTCCCATGCTGCAGGTGTGAGAGGGAGGGAGATCGAGGTCTTGAAGGCACTCACCTATGATGAACACTCTGGACGTCAAGGGATGCTTTACCGAGAGAATATAAAACCCAGCCTTGTGCAGTGGGCACCTTGGGAGTGGTTTGGTGTCTTGAGTTGTGCCAATTTAGCACTGATTCTAAGCCTTTCATCCTCCCCCTAGTGTGCCCAGGCCAGTGCCTGGACATCCTGGACATTCACATCTGGACCCGGTTGCTGCGTGGCTGAAGGCTGCCTCAGGGTGTAGACAGCTGGGCTTGGCTGGGAACATGTGGATAGTGCGTGGTCATTGTCATTACTGGGCCTTGGGGGAGTGAGCCTTTCCTGTGGGCTAGAGACCCCTACACCCTGATTGCCATAAAGAGAAAACACTTCCTCCTCAGGTTTATAGAAGCCCTGGACAGAGAGCCCTTCCTGGAAACCTTCTTTTTGCTCCCCTGGCACAGCAGGAGTTTCCCTGTTGCCTGTTTTTGCTTTCCTGATAAACTTCCTTGCTCATGACTCTTTCCTCCTGCATCTGTGGTTTCATTCTGTGACACCATGACACACACACCCAGTGTTCTGGTGACAACAGGATCAGAGGCTAGAGAGTCCACAGCGGGCAGGCGTCTGTGTGCTGAGACCTGGAGGATCCCGAGTTGCTCAGCCCAGAAGATGGAAGTTGCTGAACAAGAGGGATCCAGGATGTGGCTGCTGCCCAGGGTGGAAGGCCGGGAAGCTCAGTGGAGTCACCAGTTCAAGTCTGTGCTGGGTGCTGGGGGAACTGGAGACCTGGGGACCAGTGTCCAAAGATGTAGCCAAAGGTGCATCTGCATGGGAAGAAGAGCTCTTCAGTGTGGGCACACTTCCTGCTTCTTTCCCTTTTTATTCCATCCAGGCTCCGAGCCTATTGGTTGGTGGCACCTGCATGTGGGTATGTCTTCCCCCTCAGTTTACTGGTTTGCCTGTTAGTCATCCACAGACATGCCCAGAGCTGTGTTTCTCATCTGCTGGGAGTTTCCTAACTCAGGCTGTTTGACACACCATGAGGTGCAGTCACATCTCCTCAGCCCCACGGGCCATAGCTGTGTAGGTAGCCATAATGTGAATGCTGCCCATTGAGTTCAGTGCATGTCTTGGGGACAGGGCCAGCCCCAAGTCTCCGGTGCCTGGGTTCCATGAAGGGGAACTATGCAAAAAACAAGCAGTGGTGACTCTTTGGGCTTGGGCTTCCTGGGGACCCCACACCCACCTGTTCCATGGCAGCAGTCACTTCCTTGCTGGCTCAGCCAGTGGTACAAAATTTAGGTGAAGAAGCTGCAAACAGGGCAGGTTAAAAAAACCACCAAGCCCGCTCCACCTGGGATTGGCCCTGTACCTGGAATTGGTTGCCTTGAGTTTCTGAAAGATTCTTTGAAATTTCCAGAGATCTAAAATGTTGGCTTTGACACTTTTTTTCTGCTGTTGGCATGGAAGGGATTTTCAGAGATGTTGTCCTGCCATTTCAGAAACATTCCCAGTGCCCCCTTCAGGCAGACTCAATGCTAGGCCAGGGCCATGCCCTACCTGGTGCCCTTGTGTTTACTTCCAGTTCAAACCCTGACCTGCCTTCCCCAGCACCTGCTCAGGGCACAGATGCTCAGAAGCATCAGGAGAGCACCCCCAGCCCCAGTGCCCCGCCTTGGCTTCTGTCTCTATGAACAGCACCCATGGGGCTTCTGTGACCCCCTCTATATGTCCCTCCTGTCCTTTCCACCTTCAACCAAACAGGAAGTTCCAGCCTCTCCCTCCCCAACCAGTGCATCTTCCATGTCACCCCACTGCCATTTCCGGGTCTTGACCACCTTCTCCACGCCCCACCCCCAGCCCCTGTGTCTTCTGATGTCCACCTCTCCTGTGTCCCTCATGACCCCAGAGCGTTGGGCATTGTCTAAACAGGCAGACGTGGAGGGTGAGAGCTCATCTTAGATTCTGGGGTCTTGTGCCAACTTTGCTTTTTTCTAGCAATGGGTCCTTGGGGAAATTTCTCGCCCACACTGTGCCTCAGTTTCCTCATCTGTAAATTGAAATAACATTATTCTTTAACTCACAGAATACCCATGAGGGGCACTCGAGAAAATCCAAGTGTGCTAGTTTCCAGTCACTATCCCAGAATACCTTTATAACCATTGTCCCTGCCTAGTGCTTTGCTGTGCTTTTGTTACTATTTTTATTTTGTTTTTTTGAGACAGGGTCTCGCTATGCAGTTCAGGCTGGCCTGAGTTCCATTGTAGCCCAGGTTGGTCTCAAACTTGCAACGATCCTCCTGCCTCAGCCTCCCATGCTGGGCTTCCAGGTGTGTACTATACCCGGCTTGTCCTTTTATTACTTTGCCCTACTGGAATATAAGCTCTACAAGGCAAGAACTTTGTCTGGGCTGCTGTTGTAAATTTCACCACCATTTATAAGATCTGCAGCACAGGAAAGAGTTTTTGTGGAAGAGTTGAGGAGAGGTTAGAAGTCGAAGAGTTACCCTAGTAAAGCTTATAGCTGAAATTACTGAGTACCCAAGATGGTTTCAAGGTTCCTCCTCCTGCTCGGTGTGGACTTGCACAGATAGGATCATTGTCACACACAGATTCCCCGAGACCACAGCAAGACACTAGATCAGTCCTAGAGTAGTGCTCAGATGCCCCAGGGTGGTGGCCGGCTGCCCTGGATTAGTCAGCCTGTCAGGAGGGAGGGTCTGTCCTGAGGGTCCTCCCGGAGTTTGCTGAAATACCCTGGGTTTGGAGAAAGCTGCTGCCACACACACCTCTGTGTCAGCTCACCCCAGAGCAGTGCCTGCAGCCGAGCAATCAGCCCTCTCGCCTTAGGAGCCCCAAGAGCCTTAGGGGCCCCAGGAGAGGTCGGTGGACTGCAGTTCTCCATCCCTCTGCCCTCCCTGTAGAATTCTGCCTGCCCTGTTGCGGCCGTTTCTGCTCTTCCTCCTCCTGGAGAAGTGGGACGGGAATGCTAGTTCTTGGCTGAGCACACGGCTCTCTGACGCTGAGCTGTGTTCATTTCCCAGCAGAGCTTCAGCCGACCCCAGACAGCAGGGGCTGAGGCTGGTGTCTCTGTCCTCAGCCTGTGCAGGGCCGTGGCACGGGACTCTGCTAAGATCAGAACTGGCCTTTCATCTTTTTTCTGGTTGTTGACAAAGGTTTCTTTGGTGATCTGTCCACTGCTGTGTTTTAGCTCTTGTCTGGTCTCCGGCCAGTTATTGCAGCTGCACGAAGCCCAGACTCAAAGCCTGAAGTTTATTTCTTTGTGAGCAAGGACACAGGCGATGTCTTTTGGAAATTTCAAACAATGTTGGAATCACAGGACTCACTTCAACCTCCTGCTGCTGCTTTTAAGTTTCAAGTTTTTTTTGGGGGGGGCAGGGTGTGGTGGTGCTTACTTATCACCAACTCTGGGAGGCTGAGGCAAAAGATTGCAAGCTTAAGCCCAGCCTGTGCATCTAAGGACTGGGTGAGACCCTGTTGCCAGACAAAAATAAAGGATGGTGTGAAGGCCCTGGGTCCAATCCCCAGCCCCAACCCCTGCAACTTTTGGGGGGGCCGTGGCTCAGTAATGGAGCACTTGCCTCGCTTACTGAGGCCTTGAGCTTTGTGGGTCATAGATTGACTTAAACTAGTTTAACCTGCTGTTACCCTAGGGACTCTGTGTGCTGCTAGACCATAGGATTGTTCTCGAGGGAACCTTACAAATGCATTGTGTTAGAGGAAATGAACACGGGCCCTGGAGACCCAGTGGAATACTGCAGGGACAACATGAGACTCTTTGCTAGAAAGTGTCTGAACGAACAGTAAACACAAAGGCCAGGGACAGCCAAATGTGGCCACCAGGATAGGTGTATCCCAAAGTACAAAACTGTACTTTGCCCTTCCCACATCGAGCTTCTGCTCTTTGTAAAGACTGAAAAAAAATCCAGAGAAAGTTGTATTCAAGGCTTCAGTCCTAGACATTGTAGCCCCTCCATCCCATAACTTTGTCTCTCATTTTCTTTTCATCTGCTGCATCTGGCTTTTGGCACCTGTCTCCTCACAGAAACCAAGGGAGCTTGGTCCTCATAACACAGACACCCACACACACTGCCATGAGGCCAGACTCCCTTCCCCAGGCCTTTCCACCATGTGCTGCCCACAGGAGTCATAGAGGAGAGATGGAACAGCCAACTGAAAGAGTTGCTGGGCCAGACCGGACACTTTAACCAGGAAAAGCTGCAGCCAAGTTAGAAAACTCCTGCCCCCCCCCCCCCGCCCCCTATAGACTTGACTGTAACCCTATATCCCCATCCTTAAGAACCTGTGCGCCAATGAGATACCGGTACATCTCTAATGGCCTTAGGGCGCTGCCCTAAGCTTAGGCTATTTATATTCCCCCACGCCACGTGTCCGAGAGAGAGATTGCCAGAGAGAGAGATCGCTGGATTCCAGCAGCCAGTGCGCCAGTCTCCTCTCCCCGGGATAACCACGGCCCCGGGTGCAGTGGAGAGGCTGCGCCCGGGGCCGGCGGGGTGCCTCTCTCCACATTCCCGAAATAAAGCCACCGCTGCCCACTACTTTCACGGCCGTCCACTCCACTCCTTCCATGGACCTCGGACCTCTTTCTCTTCCTCTTCTCCCATCCACTCCCTTCTTCTCAGACCTAACACCAACCTGCCGTGCCGAGCTCCTGTCCCCTGAAACTGAATGGATTCTAAAGAACAACGGAGGCTAAGGATGGGACAGCTTTAGTGGGAGACAGAGAGCAGATGCCCGCAAGGAGGGAGCACAGGTGCTCAGGGGAGTGAGGTGCAGCCAGGAGCTGGGGACTCAGAGACAGGAACAGCTGTGGGGAGCCAGGAGGGCTCAGGCTGGGTTGCCCAGCCAAGGTCATCTCCAAGGGTGTTTTAGGGCAAAGTCGCAAGGTGGGTAGGATATGGGTCAAACTATAATCAACCAGTATAATTACAAGTACAGCCACTCAGCTAGTATTCATTCAATAGTGGCCGAGACGTGTAGTGTGGGCACTGGTGACATCCTTAGCCTTGGAGAATAATCTATAGTCTTAGCCTCATCTCCAGTCTTGGCCTTCTTGGCAGAGAATGGCCTGTCCCTGGAGAGACAATGGTCTGTTTCTGTGGGAAATCCTAAAAGGGTAGTACGTATCACATTGTACCCTCAAGCCTCCATTCAGCCTGCAGGAAAGGGGTGGCCTTGTAACACGTTCGCACCCTGGTGCTGACTCCCTCCCTGGAGGGCCCGGTCCACTCTGACTGCCTATTAATTTCTATCTAGTTTAGCTGCCTATGATAGTAGGATGGAAATGTCTTAAATGTGAACCAAAATAAACGTTGCCCCCTTTAAATTTCAGGTGTCAGGAGTTTTGTTTCCGCTGGCAAAAGAGAAAGTAACAAATATTACTGCAGAATCCAAGTGATCAGAGAGACCAGTAGAGATAAAGGAGGATTTAGTTCCAGGACTACCCAGTCCACTGAACTCACACCCACAGAGCTGGGTATCAGAACAAAGGGAAGGTTCTGGTTGGACACATGTGGCTGAGGTGTCTGGTCTTCAGAAATGGGGGGCGGGGTGCGGGCACAGGAGGGCACAGAAGCAAGACAGAGCAATTGGCAGCTCAGCTTGAAAGAAAAGGGAGCCTGGGAGAACAAATGCCATAGGCTGTGGACACAGCTGCCCATCTTATGGAACAGGAAGTCACAGCTGCAGGGTGGAGGGAGACGGTGGGAAGGATTGGTCCTTAAGTACTCTTTCATACAAAATGTAACCAACAGCATCTGTTGAAAGCCTCAATTACAGGCAACAGAATTTTATTTATTTATATTATTTAAAAGCAGAACAAAAAATAATTGAGCTATTTTGAAACCTTGTTCTTTTAAAAATAGGTTTCAAATTGGATTTGCCTGTATTTTACCCAGAGTTTTTCTATTGTTTCTAAACAATTTTTTTTTTTTAAGGTACAAATATGGGCTCCTTAACTGAAAAGTCCAGTTGTAAGGCCACCTGTGTTTACAGAGGGAGTGACCTTCGGTTTCCTCTTTCCGGGCTGGTCTTGTCTGATTCGCCAGGGTTAAAAAGGCCTTGCAGAATCACTCATGGAAATTTTCTTTGTTTTGATTTCCCCCGAGATAGTTTTTGTCAGATGCAGATTAGGTATCCCTGAGGTTCTATCAAATAAACTTCAAAAAATATCAGAGTGAATTTCTCCTTCGGTTGATTGGCTTCTGCATATGTTGGAATGAGCATTTCTTTTTTTTTTTTTTTTTTTTTTTTTTTAACGAGACTATTGCTGAGCTGGCCAAAAAAAAAAAAAAAAAGACAAGGAAACGCAGGAATTCAGTAACAGCAAGAGGTCAGAGAAGCTTGAGCTCATCTCAGAGGGACACTGCAGGAGGATTTCCCCCTCAGTGCTGAGTCTGAAGCTCCAGTCTCTCTACCTTGTATTGAGTGGAAGGAGGGGAAAAGATGTCTTTGAAAACGAAACCAGTTTGTACTTGGAGGAGAGGTGAACGTGTTTTTAGTCTGTCCGTGTTCCATAAACTGTTCTAATCAGCCCTTCTTCTTAGACTAGCAGACAAGGACACGCAAGCTGTGCAAACGCTGCCCCCAGACACAGGCTCTGGGGTGAGAGATAACTACCAGCAAGTCTTCCTGAATCCTGGGAGCCCTAAGGCTGAAAATAACTACAGAGAGAAATTCCACGGGAAATAGCAGGCGTGGGTGAACTAGATAGCTTGGGATGGACTTGGGATGGGCGATGGGAATAAAAACACAGCTTCGCCACCGGGGGCTTTCTGCCCTGTGTAGCCACTGCTCTGGTTAGAGTCTGGATGAAAAGCCCTGCTTTCTGGCCTCCAGAGTGCGATTTTCTTTTGGCTCAGGCAAGGGGATCACTTCTCAGCTGGGCCCGGGGCTCCCTACCTTCACCGGCAGGGGCCCTGCACCATGTGCCCTGGCCAGCGGGAGGTGGCTGGAAGGGTTTCTCGTGCTTTGAGGGACTTCTCAGGCATTTCCCTTTCCCTGAGCCGCATGTCTAAGGTCCTCTCTAGTGCGGACTTTGCCTGGTTCGGAAGTTCTTGGAAGGAAAGTGAGGCACGGAAGGAGGCTGCAGCTGTCTCCAGCCATGGAGGGGAGGGCGCTGCAGAGAGGATGGCTGCAGGCAAGAGGACCCCAGCCCCTCAGAGAGCTCGGCCCTCAATGCTCCTGCATCGACCCTCAGGCATGATGCCATCCTGAGTGACAGAGGGATGGGAAGATGAAGAGAATCCCTGTCTTCATTCCGAAGAAACATGGAGTGTTTTGTGTGCTCCAAGAGGGGACACTTGGAGGTAAGGAGTTTGCAAGAACAGAGGCAGGCATGCGCATCAGAGACCCCTGATGTGCACTTTCCCATCAGGGCTCTTCCCCAGGTGTGCCCGCTGCAGCGCCCACATCTCTGGGTGTCCTGGGCCCCTTCATTCCTCCTCCCTCACCCTAACTGCCCTTCCTGGATTCTCAAAGGAGTCCCCTGTTGCCATGGAAACCGGTGTCTTGCCTTTGCCCATCCAGGCCTCCTGTCCCCTTCGCCCTGGCTCAGGCTGCCTAGCAGGTCCTGCCAAGGACTCTTCTGTCCCCGACCAGTGAAAAGTCACAAAGCATTGCCAAAGCCCTTCCTGCCCATTGGTGCCACAGAACCCGGTGATGTGGCCTCCCTTTCTTGCCACTGGCTGAAGCTTGGGACACCCGCCTGTCTGTTGGCATTCTACATCCAGTCCTCAATACTTTGGTTAAGGTTAAGATCCTGCATGCCGAAGGTTTTTTTTTTTTTTTTTTTTTTTTTTTTTTTTAATGGAGTTGGAAATGTAGCTCAGCAGTAGAACACTTGCCTAGCAAGGGTACAGCAAGCAAAGAAGGAAAGGAAAGAGAGAAATGTTTTGGGCTGGGTGTGGTGGCATACACCTGTAGTCGCAGTTGTTTTAACATATTCTAAGTTAGAAGCTCAAAAATTAGGTTGTGGGCCAGGGATTTAGCTCAGCAGCACAAGCGCCTTCCTGGCAAGTGCAAGGTTATGAGTTTGATCCCCAGAGCTAAAAAAAATAGTAGTGACTTGGCATGGAAAACAATCACTGAAAAATAATTTAAGAAACAACACGTGTGATCCCAGGCCATAGGGAGCTGAGCAGTTTGGGAAGAGCCTGTTGTTTTAATCATTAGCAGTAGTGATGTGTTACTACTGTTACCCACTTACAAACCTTTGTTTCCACTTCTTTTTTTTTTTTTTTTTCTACTTTTAAAAAGCCTTTCCCTTCCTTCCCATCTGAATGCGTCCTTCCTACTTCCCCACATCTCTCCTCCGCTTAGCTCCTCATTTGCTCTTTGTGTTTCACACACCAGAGAAACAATGCTGTGTTTAAACTCCAGTGTGTGATTTATTTCACTTTACACCATGGTCTCAAGGCATATCCATTTACCTACAAATGACTCAAGTGTAGGCTTCTTTATAGCAGAGAGGTGCTCCACTGGATGTAAATACCGTGTCTTCTCCATCTGTTCATCAGTTGCTGGGCCCCTGGGCTGTTGTTCTGATTTGGCCACTATAAATTGTGATGCCAGAAACCAGGTAAGCACGTATGACGGGGTGGGGCGATGGGTCTGGGAGGAGAGGAGTCTGAGTTTAACCGGGATGCTGAGGTGGAACACCTCACGCGACTTGTCTCTGATTTCCCCGTTTCCTCCTGTCTTTATGGCTTAGCCAGCTGCTGTGTGAGCTGCTCCTCTGTCTCCACCTCTTCAGCCACCCCAGCACTTCTGAAATGGGATTCGGACCCTTCTAGGATTGATTTCTACAGCCAGAGAATCCAGAGTGGCTTTCCTGGTACGCAGAGGAAGAAGTGAACTGGAAAAGGTTTTAAAATGTTGTAACACAGTTGAAGAATGACTGCAGGGGTTATTTGCCTGATTTGCCCAACTATATCTAAGTGGGAGGAAACAAGGGAGGCTTTGAACTTCTGCTCAGGGCTGGGTCATAGCTCTGTCAATGGTGGCAGTGCCCTTTCCCGGCCTGTGCGAGGCTGTGGGTTCTAGCCCCAAGTCTCACCGGTTAGACAGAGCTGTGCCCTGTGTGCCAGTCGAGAGGCGGGGGTGCTTTGCCCACCCCAGACTCAGTAGCTGCCCGCACTGTTGCTGTCCCTGTCAAAAGGGGGGGCCTGGCTACAGGGGTCCCTGGGGAGTGACCCTAAAGGCTGCTCCCCTCTCTGACTCCTGGCTGCATGGGCTGGGCACCCTTCCTCCACCAGGCCTGCCCAGGCCTGCCCCCTGCTGTGACTTTCTGCCCCAAGCACCCACCAGGGACTGAAACCCAGAGCTTAAATACACCTCGCCTCCTTTCACTTGGGGGTCTCTGCTATGGGAGATGGACCAGGACACAGCAGTGCAAACTAACTAACTAAAGGAAGTAATAGAATCTAGTGCAAATTTTGGAGAAAACAAGACATCATAATAGCTAGTGCTGATTTAGTATCATCTTGCTTTGAAGTCCCATCAAGCTTTTATTCTTCTGTCTCCATTGGTCTTAACAGGTTGTATCTTATTGGATTTTATTATATGTGATAATATAAGCAAAAAGTTTTATAGATGAGATTATACAGAAACCATTGTTCATTTTCTGATAGTTGGTTCTAGATACCCTGTAATACTGTCATTCTCTTGAATGGTTTTACATTGTCTTGATATGTTTGGTGCTACAGTATACGAAGTTATACTCAAAGATTTCAAGGAAAGAGACACTATGGTAACTACTTTCATGTCAGAATATCTTGTGGTGAAACACTATTTTGCTTAAATGGTTATGCTTTGACCTGCACTGTTTTGTTATTATGCCCTCTTTTATCTCAATCTCCTTTTTTAAAAATTATTTACTTTTTATTTTTATCTTTTTTAATTAAGGGAAAAATAAAAAAAAGCAGGATACATTATAGTAACCCACTTTGATTTCCTATTAACTTGATTTGAAACCCTGTATAGCCTTTACCATCTTGCTTTGACTGATTTTCCTCTATTCTGCTTTGCTTGATAGTACCAAGTTTGAAAGTATAGGCAACAACTGTGAAGACAATAAGATTCACTATGATGCCCATTCCGGTTGAGTATTATCTTCTTTTAAAGTCCTGTAATGTCTCCAATGTTTTGGTTTTATTCTTTACTGTTTTGTTCAATTTTATTATAACTGACAATATAGGCACTCTTTAAGATAGCAAGAGGCAGTATGGTAACCATTGTTGATCACCTGGTATTTTGTTTTTACATTATCTATTATGTCCATCCTTTTGATTTGACTGACTCTGTTCTGTTATGGCACATTTGGTTTTACTTTCTTCAAAAAAAGCAATAAGAACTGTGGGAGTAATAAAACCCAAAATGTGTAATTGTCATTGTACAAAAGAAAGGAAAAGAAAGTGCTCTAAAGAATATAACTGCATATATATTTAAGTGTATAAGGTAGATAACTATATTACTGAGTTTTGTTGGATCATTGAACAAAACTGTTTCCAGTCTCAGTGTTTGAAAGTCTACTCTATATGCTTTAATTTTGTAACTTGAACAACTATTTCTAAGATAACAATATGCAATCTATTAACTAGTGATTTCCTACTGTTTGTTTTCTGAAATTCTGTTATAACTTGTACCCTTTTCCTATTTTCTTTTTCTCCTTAAATTAAAAAAAAAAAAAAGAATCTAGTGCAAAGCCATTGTGCGTGTTTAAAGCAAAGAGGCAAAGCCTCACTCCACTTTCTTCTGAGCTTTCTCAACATGAGGGATTAATGCAAAACCTGATGGAATTTAGAGATGGGGCTATATTTTCCCTCCAGTGATTTGAGTTGAGCCTTCTCACCTAAGATTTTTTAAAAACTGAAATTAATTTGATCCCAGAAGGGTTGAGCAGGGCTGAAAACCTTTGTACAATTCTCTGCCTTCTTCATTAAGGCTTGATTTGTATTCCCCAGAGTGGTGGAAGTGTATTTCCCTCTGTGCTGTCTATACTCGAAGGACTCGCCAAACAAAGTAGCGGTGGCAAAAGGGAAAAGGAAGAATTTCTCTCTCTCTCTCTCTCTCTCTCTCTCTCTCTCTCTCTCTCTCTCTCTCTCTTCTCTCTCTCTCTCTCTTTCTCTCTCTCTGTCTTGATTTCTCTGTCTCTATGTCTGTCTCTGTCTCTCTCATTGTGTTCTTATGAAGTTTTACTATCAGGGTAATTCTGGATTTATAGACTGAATTTGGAAGCCACGCTAGTGTTAATTCATTTAAGGTTTGACAAAATTCAGCAGCAAATCCATCGGGTCCTGACCTCTTTTTATTTAGGAGAGTTTTACTACTATTTCAGTCTCACTGCTTGTTATAGACATGTTTACATTTTTTAAATACTTTCTTTGTTAGGGGTCGGGGATTTAGCTCAGTGGTGTAAGTGCCTGCCTGGCAAGTGTGAGGTTGTGAATTCAATCTCTGGTACAAAAAAAAAAATTTTTTTTTCTTTGTTCAAGTTTGTTAGGTTCTGTATGTCTAGAAATTTATCCATTGCTTCTACAGTCTCAAATTTACTGAAGTATAAGGATTTTTAAATTTTATTTTTGGCTTTTTTTTTTTTTGAGATGGTATCACCACATAGTTCAGGCTGGCCTTGAACTCACCATGGATTCCAAACTGTCCTCAAACTTGCAGTGATCCTCTTGGCTCAGCCTCCTGAGTGCTGAAGTGTAAGTTTTCAAAACAGTTTCTACTAATCCTCTGGATTGCAGTGGTATTTATTGTATTTTGCTTGTTTGGTCTCTAACTTCATTAATTTGAGACTTCTCTTTCTTTTGATGAGTTTGGCCAGGGGTTTATTAGTTTCACTTCCCAAAAGAAACAATCTCCTTGGCTCAGCCTTAGTGCCCTGTACTTAGCCTCTGCTTCATTAACGTCTCTCAAAGGCAAACTCAGGGTGGCAATGTGGAACAACTTGAAAGCCACCTACCTGGCCTCTCTGAAGTGGTAAGAGCAGAAGTAACAAAGCACATATTGTTGATTGGACTAAGTTAGGCAAGGTGACATAGCTGTCGTGATCGACTGATCCTATTTGTACACCAGTACCTGTATTGTCTTGGGGCAAGACAATACCACAGTCCCAAACCAAAGAACTGAGTGCTGGGTCAAACAGGCTGCAACTGCTCATCCCTAATAAGCAGGATCCTGGGACAGACTTGAAAGCCAAACCCAGCTGTACTACAAGACAGCTCTGAAAAGTAGTTATTACCTAAAGAGGTCTCCATACTAGTAAAAGTTACGTACCTTAAGCGACTTAAAAGTCTTAACAAAGAAAACCAATAAACAACAACAACAACAAAAAAATAGAAATTGAGAAAATACAGAAGCAACATGCAATCTAAAACACTCAGCTTGCCTACAGCAAGCCCACAGAGCTTTGAGGTGGATGAAATGGAAAGCCTTCTTTCTGTCTTATTTTGTTTGAACTAGAGATCAAAGCTTGCCTTGTGCTTGCCAGGCAGGTGTTTGTGCCACTGAGCTAAATCCTTGGTCCTTGGTCCTTCCATCTAAATTTTATGAAATGGCAACAGTGGAAGTATGAAGATAAAAAAATAAATATCTAGCTGAAAACAAGTCGGAAATAATCACACAGGTAGCTAAAGAGATGATGACCACAAGGCAGGAAATGATCAGTGTGCCTAGAGTATACAGATTAAAAAAAACCAGAGGACTTTAGGGAAGCCATGAATGGCCAACATGAGAAAAAGCTAGACATGATAAAACACAGACAGACAGATACCTACATTAAAGTTTTCTGTTGAAAGCACACACAGCATAATCAACCAGTGCGAAGACAGAATGTCAGATTCAGAAACAGGGCTGTGTTTGGTGATCACCAAATGAAGATTCCTTACAAGTAATAAGGAGCCATGAAAAATCAATCCAACAGCTGCTAGACAATGCCAAGAAGAAGAAGAATATATAAAATTACTTGGAATTTGAAAAATCAGAAGATGCACAAAGAATGTAAAAACCTGTTAACAGAAGTTAACAGAAAACTTTTCAACTATATGAAAAGAATTTGACATACACACAAGTGATAAATATAGAGCCCCAATTAGCCATGATCAGAAAAATGCCACAACAAGGCACAAAATAGTCAAGGACTGAGAAATTCAGCACAAGAAGAAAATATTCAAGCTATTAGAGAAAAAAACAAATCACCCATAAAGAAAAGCCCATGAGAGTCTCAGCAGACCTTTAAGTCAAGAAGAATTTGAAGTGAAGTATTTCAAGGTCTTAAAAAAAACCACCTCCAACCCAGATAGATGTACTCTGCAAAATTATCTTTCAAAATGGATGGAGATTTATAGGAGCACAATTTGTAAAAGCTAAATCTTGGAAACAACCCAAATGCTCAGCAACTGAGGAATGGATAAAAAAGACGTGGTACTTTTGTATACTGGAGTACTATGCTCTAACAGAGAATAAGCTTGAGTCTTTTGTAGGGAAATGCATGCAACTTGAGACCACACTGATAAGTGAAATAAGTCAGACTTGCTTGTGTAAACATTGTGTTGTCTCCCTAGTGTAAGAAGATGAAAAATAAATAAGATCCAAAATGTATAATAGATGTGAAATGGGAAGAAAATGTTCAAACGGAAAGAGAAACTGGGATGGGGAAAGGGAGAAAAGATGAAAGGGAAAAGGAAAAAATACATATATACACATACAAAAAGAATAGTCAAGATAGTTATACAACTACTTATTAGTATATTGTATACTAATATACTATAGATAATATACTAACAGATAGTATACTATTAGTGTATTAGTTTAGTATACAACCATGCTATTAGTATATTGAAAGGAAGGTTTGTGCCTATATTATTTGATCAATTTTTATGCTTATATATTGTAATATAAGCAACTACTGTGAAGATAAGAATACACAATATACTATGTTACTCTCCTACAATTTTGTTTTGAAATTTTGTATCTTTTTCTCTTTAAAATAAAAAAAGAGAAAAAAATTCATGGAGAAATAAGATACTCCCATGACACCCAACACCTGAGGAAATTCATGACACCAAACCAGTGCTCCAAACTGTTCTGAAGAACATTCTAGAAAGAAATAATAAGGACTACAGCTCCATGAGCCCCAACAGAAGGAATCCAGCAGGGAAGACAAACAAGTAGAAGGAAGGGGCAAAAAAGGGAGAGCCAACAACAGGAAAATAACAGGACAAGTATAAGTCAATGCATATCAGTTCCAGCCATAATGTGAAGGGTCTCAATTCACCAACCAAAAGACAAAAACTGGCAGAGTGGATCAAGAAGCAGCAATATGCTACATACAAGAAATTCAGTCACTGTACTACAAGACAATGACTAGGATCACAGGCCTAACAGTGGCAATGCAAAGGTAGATGCTCTATTTGCAGGGTCATAACTCTTAACCACAGGGACATTCTCAGGAGCATGCCCTGCACTTTCTTAGAGTAGAATACACTTCACAGAAGGTAGGTGGGACTGGCAAACACAAAGGTGACAAGACAAAGGGCTGGGGATTTAGCTCAGCGGCATAAGTGCCTGCCTTGCAAGCAGCGGGTCGTGAGTTCGATCCCCGGTACCGATAAAAAAGAAAAAGACAAAAAAAAAAAAAAAAAAAAAAAAAAGACAAAGAACCTGAGGAAAACGAAAGGGAAATGGAATGCTATCCTCACATATTAGTGGCTATGTGGTAAATAATTTTGACTTGCCATATTAGTTTTTGAAAAGATATAACTTGATTGAAAAATGCCAGAGGGTGCTGCTTAGTGGATTACGAGTTCAGCTTTTCTCTTTTCCCTTAGTTCTAAACAGAATAGAAGGAAAAAATGAAAACAAAGCTTTCATAAATCAGGAAGGAGGGTTAAAGGGAGGGGAGGGAATTGGGGAAAAAAAATCAAGATACATTATGTATAGGTACAAATTCCCTGGTGATCATTATGTAAACTTAAAATGTACCAAAAATTTAATTAATTAAAAAAGAGCTCAGCTCAAAGGGAACATAAAAGACACTGCGCAATGGGCCAGTGGACAGGAAACAACCGCAGAAGAAAGACCACCATGAGAATATAGAGACGTAAGTGGGGAATAACTACCATTCTGAAAGTGGTTCCCTCTTTGAAAGGAGCTAAAAGGCAAGTATGGAGAAAGGTGATGTTACTTTTCACTTTATGTTTTCTAATAAGATTTAAAACATTGTGCATGGAGTAATAGAAAATCAAGAACAGAATGCACAAGTAGGCTTTTCTCAAAGTTGCTGAAAATTTTCTCTTCCTTTTGTTTTTGGTTCTAGGTACAAGAGATTGAACCCTGGGAGAGCGGAGCTACAGCCTCAGCCTTTTTATTTTATTTTTTAATATTCTGAGACAGACTGACTTCAGATTTGTCATTCTCCTGCATCTGCCTCCTGAGTAGCTAGGATTACAGTGAGCCACTGTGCCTGGCTGCATTTAATCCATCCTTGAGCTGGAAATAAACTTTGTAATGAAGTTTTCTAAATGTATTAAAGGTGGTACAAACAAGGGGTGTCTATTATTACACTCTTTTTGTTTAATACTGTATGCATACAGCTGCTTTAGTGAGTGGTGTATTTATTTTTAAGACAAGTTCTCACCACACAGTTCAGGCAGGACTTAAACTCTATTTAGTCCAGGATAGCCTCAAATATGAAGTAATTCTACTGTCTCAGCCTCCTGAGTGCTGGGATTACAGGCTCTGTTCCCATGCCTGGCTATGAGTAGTGTTTTTAAAATCACCACTGACCTCTACCAACAAAAAAACTTCAAATTCAAAATGAAAAAAAAAAATCCCACAAATTATAAGGTAGTTATCATGTCACATGTACATATGTAATTATATTGCATAAAAGGAGCTAATTCAGTTAATTTAAGAATTTTTTTTTAATTTAAGAAAATTTTTGTGGGAAAATACTTCATATGTTCTGCCAAGTGTTGCAGCCTTACTAAAATAGAGCTGTTGCGGCCCTGCTCCCAAGGAATCCTAGCAAAGGAGCCATACCATCCCGCTGTCTACGGTGGGAAAACTGTGTCTCCTCCAGAAAGCCTGCAGAGGATTCAGAATAAAACGAAGCTGCCATGGGTCTGCGTAGCCCGCGAGCTTTACCGATCGATACCCTGCTAACCGACCACACACAAAGGGTGGAGAGACTCACAGGAAGTTTTTATTTTTATTTTTCCCTTTGTTTGACTGACAGACCTGCCTCGGGTTTGTTTGTACCAGTAACAAAGGGACACCTAGCCACAGGCGGAGGGCAGCGCAGGGGACACCTCTCGGTCTGTACAGAGACCTCTGCTCCGCCAGCGCCTGACCGTCGGGGCTAGAGCCAGGCAGGAGCAGGGGCGCAGGGGAGACAGAAGGGTAAAGATGGGTGGAAAGGAGACAGGGACACCCACTACAGAACGCAATTGTCTGTCAGAAGGCTGCGGTTTGCAGGACTCGGTGGAGGTCACCCCAGGACCCAGACCCTAAACACCCAAAAGTGCCGGGAACGCTGGGTGTGCTGATGACCCAGGCAGGGCTCGCTTCTGTAGCGGCTGCTGTGCACGGGAACTCGAGACTCGTGGTCTGCTCGGTGTCTCTAAAGAACCCTTCTAGGGTGGAACGCATGCGTGCCCATCTCTCATGATCGCTCTAATAAACATTTATACTTGATTATGGTTCATCACATAATTTCAGATCTGGAGCTTTCAATCTGGCATGGCTCTTTTCACATTTTAGTTGCATATTCGGAATTAGTAAGTTAAAACAAAATCCCTCAAAAAACTAGGGCACAGGAGCTTGATTCTAAGAAAGGGGAACAGGTTGAGAAAATTCAAAGAATGCTTAGATTATCCTCTTTTAAAAACAAACACATAAACTGGACTCCTATCTGTAAAACGCGCATCTACGGGAGGGTGAGGCGCCTTCTCCTGGGGTTTCCGCCCCCACAAGAAACATAAAGGTTCCCAGGCCCAAGAAATAAGGCGGTCCTCTCTCTCTTAGGTGTTCTTTTAAATTTCTGCACAATAGAGAGCTTCCACCCTGGTGATCCTCTGACCAGCATTCAGCTGATATCACCCATTTCAATTATCTGGACAACTGGGACCCCTTTCAGCCCAGCTCCCAGGGAAGAAGAAAATGAGAATAAATAAATAAATAAATAGTCCGGCACAATAGACCTCTTATGTTCTTATTGAGGGATATGGAAAATTCTTTCTCTGTGAAGGAAGCCTGCGAGCCAGCAGATTTTTATTGTGTCAGGCGAGAGCAGGCTCCTTCCCGGTTTCAGAAGCGTCCTTGGACCTATCCAGTGACAGGGTCAGAGCTTCGGCCCACCCTTGGTCTCTGCCTGGCCTAAGCCAGGTGTGAGAGTGGGTAGAGACTACTGAGCTGCAGCTGGTGTCTGGAGGCGTTGGCATGCACCTGATGGCTTTGGGGCGTTGGCCTGCAGATTTTTGGGCTTTTTTGGGAGGGTGGGTTGGAGGTGCTGGGGCTTGATTCCCAAGTGCACCCCACTTCCAGTCCGTAGGCCGGCTGAGTAGCTCTCAGCTGCTGGGCAGGGCGCCCAGGCCTCAGCGCGGGCTCTCGCGTCACCACCGGGCGCTGAGTCACGCGCTCGGCAAACGACGCTGGATCCTCTCTCCGCCCCTCATCCAGGGTCTCCTGTGCAAGATTACCACCTTCCTGGGTCGCAGTTTTCCGGAAGGGCACAGGGACCCTACGCAGGTGGGGACTGAAGCCCCCCGGGATAGAAGGAGACGCCGACACCCACGGGGCTCCCGGCCTCGTGCATCGCGTGGGCCGAGACCTTGCTGCAGACAAAGGCCTCCCCGGCCGCGCGCGCAGATTCGGGCTCGGACTCCACGCGCCCACGTGTCGTGAACCCGCAAATAAACCAGAAAGCAAAATGAGAGCCAGGCAGCAGGCCCGGGAGACTGCGCTCAGCACACGGGCGGGGACCGCGGGACGGAGGGCGGGGAAAGGGGGAGAGCGGCAGGGCGCCCCCGGCGGCCGCAGTGAAGCCAAAGAACCCTTTTGAATCGGGGCCACGGGCGCGGGGCGGAGCCTGCGCTGCGGGCGTTCTGGGGAGGGCGTGTCATGTGGGGGGCGTGACCAAAGCCTGGGGGTGTGGCCTGCCTGGGCGGAGCAGCGCAGGCCTGGGGCGTGGCCGGCCCGGGGCGGGGCCTGCGCGTTGTTTTGCCCGCCGCCCACGGCTCCCCGCGGGGCTGCGCGGCGGCGGCGGCGGCGGCTGTGGGGCGGGCGGAGCGCGGGTGCTGGAGGCCAGGCCGGTGGGCCGGGGCCGCCGCGATGTCTGCCGAGTGCTGCGCTGGCCAGGTGAGCGAGCGCGGGCGCTGTGGGCGGAGGGCGCGGTAAGCCGAGTCCGGGCCGTCGCCGCCCGCCTGATCCGCCCGGGGCAGCCGCGTGGCGTCCCGTGCCCGGGCAGAGCCGGGCGCGGCCGGGCAGGGTGCTGGGCTCCCCCGAGCCAGGCTCAGGCTCTTGTCCCGAGGGCTCCGAATCGGACCTGCAGACCCGGCAGGTTCAAGCTTAGACTCGCGGCCACTCCGATTCGTCCAGTCCGTTTCGCCCGGTCCAATGTGGCGGGAGCTCCGGACAGTGGCCAACGCTGAGTCTCCCGGCTCTCTCCACCTGGACTACTCGAACCGGATCCGAACCGGGTGGGACGTGAGATCAGAAAGGGCGAACAGTTATCAGAGGGACACATGATACCACCGACCCTCTCGAAATCCTCCCCTTCCCTTCCTAGGTGCGCGTCCCAAGGTTCTGGCTCCTCTGCGGTAGCGCGGGAGTCCTCCTTCCTGAGTGTCTCTTCGAGGTGTGATTAAAAATACGGTGACTCCTGCTGCCCAGCGCCACCCGTAGGGAGAAGCCGCTCATAAAACCCTGACACTATCCTCATCTACCTTATTCACTGGACCTGTCACCACCCCATCTCTTGCTCTTCGTCAAAGCCAGAATAACCATGAAAGGTCAATATTTTGTTATTTTTGTTATTAAGGAGGCAGTCAGGACAGCAGGGCCCAAGGCACTCAGGAAAGAGAACTCCGGCGCTGGTGTGAACAGTAGCTGTCAGGATGGGATGAGTGTGTTGAAAGGAGATTCAGTGTCTTTCACTGTAATTAAAGCATTTTTAAAACATGCGCTGTAAAGGAAAAAGACAAAAAAAAAAAAAGAGTTTTAATCTCGCCTGTCCACGTCTGAAGGCATTTGCTTCCGGTGTGGAGAATTAGGGAGCAGTGGTAGATCAAGCTGTCTGGGTGTGGGGCTGCTTTTCCATATCTGTGGGTGATCAGGACTTCCGTGCAGCTCTTGAAAGATGTGTTTGCGGAACGAACCTGACCATGAGTGGTGGACTTTCAGGTGCAGGGTTGCTGCTGTTTGCTTTGGGCTGATGGATGGCCTGGCTGGCTAGGGCACGGTGCCGAAGTCAAGCTGCGGTCATAGCAGCTGGTGACCCACGTTCTGCACGGGTGGCCTTGTGGAGTTATCTCGGTTTCGAGGTCAGATTCTATGCTTTCATGTCTTCAAGCTGGTCTTTTCAGAGGGGAGGAAATTGAGGCTTTGGGGCTTGAGGTAGAAATGAGGTTTTTTCTGAGCCAGGCTCAGAGGGAGGTAGAACGAGGGAACCTCCCTCACCTGCTACCCAGAGCTTTTGGTGCAAGACGGAACAGGAAAGTTTCTGGAAAACTGCAAGTCTGCTTTTCTTTGTGTGTGTGTGGTGCTGGGGATTAGAGCCACAACTCCTGTGTTCCAGGTAAGTGCTGTGAGCTGGACCCTTTGAGATCCTATCTCTCCAACTGGATGCTGTGCATTTTGTACCTAGTTAGGGATGTCTGACCCTTCAGTCCCTAGAGTCTCTTTCAGTGACACTGCATGCCTCATCTCATGCTCAGAAAGGTAATACAGTGCCTAATGGGTTTTGTAAGAGAATTGCTGGTGCCGGTATGTTCGACGCTTTGCCAGGATTTAATGGTGTATTTCTAAAATCCCCCTTCTCTGGACTTTGGGAAGAACCAGATTTTGGCCACTCATCACAGGAAAGTTAGCTTCTGCTTTTCTTCTGTGCTGCTGTCTCCATGTGGTTGCCTGCTGAGGGGTGGCTGAGCTTTGGTGGAACACTGTGGGGATGCTGAGGGGAGCATTTGCTCCCCTGCCTCCATCCTGGGCTCGGTCCCCAACTCTGCAAAAAACCAAAAAAACCTTGCAGCACCCACAGAAGCCAGGGCTGCCGGCTTTGTTCTTGTTTGTTCAGGCACCTACTGTGTGCCAGACCCTGGGGGATGCATAGCAGAAAGCTAGACAAGCATCTGCTCCTCCGTGGGCTGTGTGTGTGTGTGGTATGTGCATGTGCACAGGGGTGGGGGTTCATGAGTGTGTAAACAATTGCAATTCCCAGATCCTGGGTGGTGAACAGCTGTGGCCACAAGGGTGTGGAGGAGGCAGAAAAGATGCCTCGGCATGGAGACTGATCACGCAGGCGCCAGTGGAGGGGGCCAGGAGGAGTCCCCCTGGGCTGAGCTGGTCCCTGAAGGTCCGGGGCCACCACCTGAGGGTGCAGAGCCTCTCAGCACAGCCTGAGGTGGAGGAGTCGAAAGAGCTGGGTTGCTGGCAGACTGTGAGGAGTACACAGGACTCACAAAGCCTTCGCCCAGAGAGAGGAGGCTGGGGATTTTACTGAGTCAGCTGGTGCACATTCACACAGGGAAGGCTTGGCGTGGGAGAGGCGGGCACGCTGCCTGCCGAGCAGGCTGTGCTGGAGGCCACACTAACCCATGCATCGTGGTTTCAGGGGAGGGGAGAGGATTGGCAAGAGTGTTCTGGGGTGGAGAATGCAGGATTGAGATAAGGAATGAAATTACCCAGGGTGAAATGCACTCCAGCTCAGTTGATCAGTGGACTCTGGCTGGTTTAATGCGTTCCTGATGGCTCACACTCCATGGTACACGCGTGACTCTCCCCTTGGGTGGCTGATACCAACCATGTACCAGCAGGGCAGTCATTCGTGCACCACCAGTGGTTCAGTCCTGTGGGAACGGTTCAGATCAGAGCCATTTGGTAGGCATGGACAGCCCTGTATGAAGGTGTTAACCTTATACCTGAGCTACGTAGTGAGTTCAAGTCTAAACTACATAGTGAGACCCTGTCTCCAAAAGCCAAAACCAGAAAACTCTCCCCAAAAAACAACTCGAAGAGCTGCTGGGAGTCCAGGCTACAACTTCATCCTGTCCTGCCTGTTGATTGCTCTGAGCAGTCGTCCAGCCTTTGCTGGAGTTTGGGTTTACTCTGGCTGCAGTGAGGAGCCAGGGCAGGATTTTGAGCAGGGTGAGCTGTGTTTGACCCTGGGATGTGCACCCTGGGTGCAGTGAAGATGGGGTGGTGTCAGCTGAGAGGGGAGGCAGAAAAGGAAGAGCTGCTGCTGTACCTGACCAGGCCCTTTCTGATGGAGCCTGAAACGGGTGACTTCTGGGCTTCAGTGTGGCTATGGATACATAGGGTGCCCTGGGCTTCTGTGGAGAGAGGAAGAGCAACCGTGAGCAACGGAAGAGAAGCAGTGAGGTGGAAGCTCGTGGCGGGTGGACATTTGGCCAGGAAAACCCACGGTTTTCCATGGGCTTTGTATACAGGTTAGAAAGGAGTGAAGATAGCTGGACATGGTGGAGCAAGCCTGAAATTCCAGGACTGCAAGAGGCTGAGGCATGAAGATGGCCACGAGTTTGAGGTCACTGTGGGCTACGTAGTGAGTTCAGGGCCAGCCTGAAATACACGGAGACCCTGTCTCAAGACAACCACAACAACAACAACAAAAACTGAGTGAAGACAGCAAGTGCTCCTCTGGATCGCATGTGCTGGAAACTTAATGGCCTGATTTTTCTGACGGTGTTTGGTGGTGGGACCTGGGGGAGGGAGTGGGGCCAGGAGGGATCTGCTGATTTGGGAATCTTCTTGGAGTGGCTTTGGTATAAAATTGGCCAGTGCTGGCTGGCTGCCCAATGCCCTGGCTGTGCTGTGATGCAGCAGAGAGGCCCTCAGTAGTGCCTAGTGTGGGTGCCAGGGCCAATCTCAGGCATCTGAGCCTCTGGAACTTGAGGCAAGGTTCTTCTTATAAATGACCTTGTCTCAGATGTGCAGTTGTCCCAGCAGAGAGTAGCCCAAGGCAGCAAGCCCCAGGCTGGGGAGAAGTCCAGACGGAGTCGTGAGCCAAGAGGTCAGTGTGAAAGCTGGTGTGCCATGGGCAAGTCACTGACCCTCTACTCCCCCATTGCCCCTCAGCAGGCGTGGCTGTGATCGTTCTTCCTGGGGATGAAGCTTGGCCCAGTCAGGAGGTCTCCAGTCACTTGGTCTAGAATGGATGCTGATGCTCACTTAGACCCAGTGTAGGCTATTGGCTAATGGATGTTGATGGAGGCAGAGCTCACAGGGAAGTGTTTTTCCTGTGCCCGCTGGATGCAGAGCATTGTGGTGGCCCCTGGGAACAGCAGGAAACACTGAGCTTCCTCGTTTTAACTCACCACCTAGCTAGGAATGGCAGGGTGTGTGAAGGAGTCAGGATTGTCAGAGTGAGATGAGATACTTACAACATCTAGAGCTGTGATGGTTTTCGTCAAGGTGTCCTCCGAGAGCCCCATGCACTCGTGGGCGGGGCCTTTGGAAGGTGATTGAGTGTTGGGATGCTCTGGCTGACTTGTTAGGAGGACAGCTTGTCTTTGAGTGGGCCGCAGGGCTCTGACCTGGAAGGGTCTGTCTCCTGCCCCAGAGGTGAGTGCCTTTCCTCCACCTGGGCCCATCTACTTTCCCTTCCTGCCTTGGAGCTAGCCAGCTATAGCCTGATAATCTAAGCCAAAATAAGCCTCTCGTCCTTTAAATTGTAGGTGTTGGGTATTTGTCTCAGTGACAAGAAAGCGACTTAAGATTTTAGGGCCAAAAAGTGTGGAGTTGTTGCTATCACTTTACCTGGCAGTGAGGTTTAGATACTTTGGAGACTCAGAGGAGGAGTTTGGAAAGGTTCGGAGTTGTTTTGGCGATGCTGGGTACAGAAGCCCTACAATGCTGTAAGCTCGGCTTGATGGGAGTCTCTGGTCCAAGCTCAGGAGTCAGGAATGCTGATAGACATGCGGATGGTAAGAACCAGGCTAAGAAGATTTCAGCTGGAAACAAGGACTCCACTGACAGTTGGACTCAAAACTATCTGTGTGATCCTCTGGCAGGAAATTTGGCTGTGTTTTATGAATCTCCTAAGACTTTGTGGGAGACAAATCAAGAGTGCAGGCCTGAGTAATCTGGCAGAGGAAATATCAAGGGAGCTCAACATTCACACTGTAGCGTAGCTACTACTCCAGCTTTTAGTGAGTTTACAGTGAAAAGAGCAAATTGAATCATTTGAAAAAATTTTCTAGGAAGCTCCTGCAAAATTCTGGCCCAAAAGAACTTTGTTGCCAAAAGGATGTTTAAAAATAAACCATGTACTTTACATCAGGACAGTAGGAAAGATGCCTCATGGCTACAGCAGAAGTCAGCAAGACCCTACCTTTGCTGGTTCAAGGGTGTAAAAGACTTTGCTTTGAGAGCCCCGGAACCTAGTTCACTAAGGGCCAGCTGGGAAGGTTTCCTGAAGCTAAGCCATCCAGGGACCCAGATGCTTCTGAAGCCGTGGTGTAATGGGGCTGACTATTGCTCCACATGGTGCTGAGTTTACAGGTATGTGGGATGTGAGAGTTGTGGGCTCAGGGGACTTCAGGGGGTTTCAGAAGGCCTTGGAGTCCGTACAGGGTGTGGAGCTGTGGATGTAGCTGAAAGTGCAGTGGAGACCTCAGGAAAAGCCTGGGACATGGAATGTCTGCTGAGGACGGCTGCAGGCAGAGGGCCTGTTCTGAGAGGGGCATGGGGGCCACTGCAAGCAGGGCCATAGGGGCAGGGCCGCTGGAACCCTGTGTGCTCACATCTCATCCTCACTTGCCCCAGGTGCTGGACATGTAGCTTCAGGACTCAGTGTTTGCCGGCTGAGTTTGGGTCTTGCTTGGGTCCCACTGGCTTCCAGCCCCTGTTGCTCCCTTTGGAGTGGGAACATTTACCCCGTGGCCTTGTGCATTAGCAATGCTTCCTTTCATTTTTACAGGGCTCACAGCTACAGGGGAGGCTTTGGCTTTGGGCTTTTTAGCAGCCCTGGAGCTAAGCCTCTGATGCCTCTTGGAGATGTGCTGAATGGGTTTTGGATAAGTGTGGACATGAGCCCTTGGGGGGTCTCCTGCACTCAGAGGCAAAGTTTTTTTCCCAGAGGGAATGGAGGGCGTGGCTGTAGCAGATTTGGGAGGTGGAGCTGGTCAGAGGGCGGCCCCTGGGGGTGTGACCAGAAGGACCTGTCTCTCCCCTGGGCTCCTGCCTTGCTTTTTCTTCCCTGTGGCCAAACCATGAACTGCTCTGCTCCTCTAGACTTTTCCACCGTAACTTCTCACCTTGGAGCCGGCCTCAGCTGCCTTAAGAAAGTGAGCATACTTCTTCCAGC